GATTTAGTGACAGCAACGGAGATCTGCGTGCAATACACATCTTGGACATTTGAGGAAAACACTGGCAACTCGCGGCGCTCATGTGAGTGCAACTAAGCCTCTAAGCCAAGAGGCAAAGTGGAGGGTGCCAAAAAACATGAGATGCATTGAACAGGATGGGCGGACAACAACTAGGCAACAGAGACCAAAAAAGCAAAACTAAACTCATCGCTGAATGCTCTTGAACAAGCAAATCATCACTGCATGCTCCCGTGGAACGTCCTTGACGTTGAATGATTCAGTCCGTGGACTCTTTTGTCGCCAATCAGAATGCTTTGCTGGATTAACGGCTCAGCTTGAAACGCAACGCTAACTCCGAGCCTTTGGCGGAAAGGCGGCAAAACAAACTGATCGAACTTGCAAGGCGCTTCCAATCAGGTAAGTGGCACGTGCATTCAAGCTTAGCAGGGGCGCAATTGCTTCAACAAAAAGCATGAATCAAGCATTCTAAAGCTCTGGAACGCCTAGAGCTTGACGATGACAATGGAGAACATAATTTGTTGTAATGCAGCAAGTCACCTAAGTCTCAAACAGATTGGGATTCTTGCGTCACCGACCGTGCTTTGCCACTCTTGATGATACACTTGCAACGCTGCTCCGAAAGTCAGCAAAAGCTGGCGGAGTAAGCAAAGCCTCCACATTGCCGCAAAGCAAAACCGTGCATTGCGTAAGGTTTTCCCGCCGGCGGCTACCAAGCTACAGCTTGTTTGCCTTGTTTGCTGGCTTCGTCGCGTGAGAGCAACATTTGTGTTGTTTGAACTGAGCTGCCATGCTGGCCGCAATCTTTGCTACAGAAGCTGACTAATCCTCGCGCAGAAAGGAATGCTGATAGGCGCACTCCATGTACTGCACCTTGTGCCTACCCAGCTTTGCCATCCGTGCAGCAAAGGATGCTGTGACACTCGGGTCTGCCTGTTGTGACTCAAGTTAGATATAACAAGCGGCGACCGAGCAGCTGCAGTGCGTCAGATAAGGTCGTTTCCGTGCCTCTTGCCTCCGGCGTATGGCTCGCTCTCCCGCCAGGCAGGTTTGTCGGGTGCTTGCGCACAGACTTGCTGATCAGGCAGATGTCGGCTTTTGACCACGCTTGCTGGCCACCAAGCTGATGTTGGCTTGCCATGTTAGGCTACCTGTTTCTTGGCTTTGTGGCGCCAGACCAACAAGGCGCAAAGTGCTGGCTGCTGCCGCCAGTGCCTGAGCTGCACCAGGGAAAGAGCGAAGCGCAGGTTCCTTGCTCTGTGCGAGTGTGCGAGTTTTGTTTTCTCTGTGTTGTTTGAACTGAGCTGCCACGCTGGCCGCAATGTTTGCTACAGAAGCTGACAAAATCCTCGCCGTGCAGAAGGGAATGCTGATTGGCGCACGCCATGTGCTGCACCTTGTGCCTACCCGGGCTCGCCATCAGCATACAACTGCACCGACACAGTGAAAGCATGCTTTTTGCTTGGCCTGTCTTTTATGCGGCTTGGGCGCAGTTTGCCCAAAGTGCAGCACACGGTGCTGTGACACAAGGACAAGCGGCGACCGAGCAGCTGCAGTGTGTCAGATGAGATCGGTTTGCAGCACGCGGCAGCCAAAGGCCGTGTTGTCACTATCGCCTTGGCACTGCCAGATCATGCGCACAGACTGTTTGCCCTGATCTGCTTTCCATTTTCCGTGCCTCTTGCCTCCGGCGTATGGCTCGCTCTCCCGCCAGGCAGGCTTGTCGGGTGCTTGCGCACAGACTTGCTGATCAGGCAGATGTCGGCTTTTACATATTCGGACTTGGTTGACTGGCAGTCAGGCGCTGTCAGCAAGGCCACTGCTTTGTCCCACAAGTGCCCAGCGGGTGTCCAGCATGCTTGACTGCCGCATTCGGCTTGTTGCTGGAGAGATTTACCAAGCCCGCTGGTTGTGCTTTCTTTGCTACGCAGTATCAAACAATTGCTGCTGGGTCGTGGCGGTTTCTCGCTTTGGGCAGGCTATGCTTGTTGGCCACCAAGCTGATGTTGGCTTGCCATGTTTGGCACACGCAGAGGCTACCTGTTTCTTGGCTCTGTGGCGTCAGACCAACAAGGCGCAAAGTGCTGGCTGCTGCCGCCAGTGCCTGAGCTACACCAGGGAAGCAGCGAAGCGCAGGTTCCTTGCTCTGTGCGAGTGTGCGAGTTTTGTTTTCTCTGTGTTTCTTGAACTGAGCTGCCACGCTGGCCGCAATGTTTGCTACAGAAGCTGACTAATCCTCGCCGTGCAGAAAGGAATGCTGATTGGCGCGCGCCATGTGCTGCACCTTGTGCCTACCCTGCCTCGCCGTCAGCATGCAATTTCGCCAACACAGTGAAAGCATGCGTCTTGCTTGGCTTGTCTTGTGTGTGGCTTGGGCGCAGGTTGACAAGAGTGCAGCAAAGGATGCTTGGACACTTGGGTCTGCCTGTTGTGACTCAAGTAGCGGGAGGATTTTGGTGCACGCAAGGGTCAGATATAACAAGCGGCGACCGAGCAGCTGCAGTGTGTCAGATGAGGTCGTTTTGCAGCACGCGGGAGCCAAAGACCATGTTGTCACTTTTATCGCGTTGGCAATGCCAAATCATGCGCACAGACTGTTTGCCCTGATCTGCTTTCCATTTTCCGTGCCTCTTGCCACTGGCGTATGGCTCGCTCTCCCGCCAGATTTCAAGGTTGCTCGCGCACAGACTTGCTGAGGCAGATATCAGCGTGAACATTTCGAAGTTTTTTGATTGGCAGTCAGGCTGTCCTTTCTCGTTGTGAGCACGCAAGCTTTGTTTCCTCTTTGTTGTGTGAGCTGACCTGCCATATTGGACACGATGCTTGCTACAAAGTCTGACTGTGGTCGAAACGCCGGAGAAGGCAAGCATGCGTCTTGGCGTGCACGCTGTGCTGCACCTTGTGCCTACCCAGCCTGTTTCTTGGCCGGCATGTGGTTGATGCGTTGTGAGTGTAGATCGCCATAGCCACGTCGAAGTCTGAGGTGACACTTGGGGTTTCATGTTGTCATGCAGGTAGCAGAGGATTTGTGGCATACAAGGGTCAGAGAACAAGCAGAGAGCAAGCAGCTGCAGTGCAGGTTGTGTTTTCACTTGTGTCGCCCTGGCAATACCAGATCATTGGTTTGACAAGCTGTTTACCTTGATGAGCTTTCAAGTTCCGGTGCCTGTTGCTTCCAACGTATGGCTCACGCTCTTGCGAGGTTTTAAGGGAGCTCGTGCAGGGACTTGCTCAGGCAGATGACAGCTTTGGGGCTGTCAGTGTCTAAGCCATGCCCAAAGTTCATAATCTCCAAAGTGCACGCTTGTTAGTTACAGCGTTGCCCCACAAGTGTCCAGCGAGTGTCCAGCATGTTTGACTGTTGCATGTAGCTTGTTGCTAGAGAGGATTGGCAGACCGCTGGTTGTGTTCTCTTCGCCTTGCAATATCCAACATGAGTTGCTGGGCACCAGGCGGTCTTGCCATGCTCTGCGGCCACAGAGATGCGCAGAGGCTACTTGTTTTTGGATTTGTCGCCCTAACCAGCAAATCCCCGAGAGACCACTGCGCTCGAGTCCCAAATCGTTGCTCAGTGCCTGAGCTTCGCGAAGTGCCTGTGGCACCTTTCTTGGTGCGAGCACACAAGTTCTGTTTCGTCTTGGCTAAGTGAGCTGACTTGCCATGTTAGACACGATGCTTGCTACAAAGTCTGACTAGTGGTCAATGCGCCTGAGAAACTGTGCAGGAAGGCATTCTGCTTGGCATGCACCATGTGCTGCACCTCGTGCCTACCAGGCCTTGTCGTCAGCATACGATAGAACCAAAACATCGAAAGCATGTTTCTTGGCCGGCATGTGGTTGATGCGTCATGAGTGCAGATCGTCGCATGTAGGTCCAAGTCTGCGGTGACACTTGGGCTGTCCTGTGGTCAGTCAAGTAGCCGAGGATGTGTGGCACACAAGATTCAGAGATAACAAGAAACAACGAAGCCACTGCAGTGTGTCAGATCAGGTCGTTTTGCAGCATGTGGGAGCCAAAGGCCGTGTTTTTAGTTGTGTCGCCCGACAATGCTGGATCATTGGCTTGACAAGCTATTTACCTTGATGAGCTTTCAAGTTTATCTGCCTGTCGCTTCCAACGTATGGTTCGCGCTCCCGCAGATTTCAAGGTTGCTCGCGCACAGACTTTCTCAGACAGATGACAGCTTTGACAGCGGATTCGGTGGATTGGCGCTTGAACCAATAGTCCATCAGGGGAGCAGCGAGCTGTTTCAGGGTTTCCTCCATTTGCCAATGGACACCACCAGGAAATTGCAACTGTTGAAGGGGAATTCCAGTGACCCCTGTTCAGCATCGTAGTTACAAGTTGCTTTTTCTCCGTGATGCTTGAACTGGCCTGCCATGTTGGACGCAATCCCTGCTAGCAAGGCTGATGGGCTTCCCCCGGTCTCGCTACAGCAGCATGACGAACCCGTAGCACGCAGCGACTCCGCCTTTGAATTCTTTCCCCCGCACAATTCGCGCGAGCTGTTTGCCCCGTCATGCGAAGCCGGCAAGAGGCAAGGCAAAGATTAGGGCACACGGTTGAACTGCCAGTTTCTCATACGAAGGCTCGACTTATGATGTTGGGCTGACAGGCTGCGCAGGGCGGGCAGACTGTTGCACTGCTGCCTCTGGTTGCCACCTGGTGTGGCCATCAGCAGACAGCAGCGCCAGAGCATGTTGCTTTCCTGGCATGTGTTTTGCGCGGCCTAAGCGCAGGTAATTAGTCAAAGCGCGGTGAGTCCAACGCCGGGCCAGCGGAGCATCGTTGGGGGGAAATTCGGCATGACTACCTTTTTGCCGCCAGCAGTGACTCCACCGTTGTGCCCTCTGCAGGACTGGACAGTTTGCTCGAACTTCTTGCCCTGATGTGCGCAGCAGAAAGCATAGGCCTGTTGTCCTTATGTTCGGTTTGCACTGTTTGACTGATTTGAACGCCAGGTAAAGAGCCCCAGCTGGCCCATGTCCCCAGTCGCCGCTGCCAGCCGGTTGTTACCAGCGCAGCAGCGAAGTGCAGACGCCTTGCTCGGTGCTCACAAGTTGGCTTCCAATGTATGGCTCGTGCTGCCGCCAAATTTGAAGGGTGATCAGGGAAAGACTTGCTCAGATGACATCTTTGACATTGTTGGGTTCGGTTGGCAGCGGGTGTCCAGCTTGACTTCCACATTGAGCTTGTTGCTTGAGAGGGTTGGCAGGCCGCCGGTTGTGCTTTTGTCTTTTAGTATCCAACATTAGCTGCTCAGTGCTGGCTGTGGGAAAGCCACGCTTGCTGGGCACCAGGCTGAAGCTTGCTTGCCACGCTCTGCAGGCGCAAAGATGCGCAGAGGCTACGTGGATTTTGGATATGGCGCCCAAGACCAGCAAGTCCCCAAGAGACGACTGCACCCGAGTCTCAAGTCGTTGTTGTCAGTGCCTGCGCTGTGCAAAGTGCAAGGGCCTTCCTCGGTGCGATCACAAAAATTGTGTTTCCTTTTTGTTGCGTGAGCTGACTTGCCATGTTAGACACGATGCTTGCTACCAAGTCTGACTGGTGGTCGAAGCGCCTGAGACAATGTGCAGGGAAGCATGCTTCTTGGCGCGCACGCTGTGCTGCACCTTGTGCCTACCCAGCCTGTTTCTTGGCTGGCATGTGGTCGATGCGCTATGAGTACAGATCGCCATAGGCACGTCCAAGTCTGCGGTGACACTTCGGGTTTCATGTTGTCATGCACGTAGCAGAGGATTTGTGGCATTGGAGAGCAAGCAGCTGCAGTACATCAGATGAGGTTTCATTGCAGCACGTGGAAGCCGGAGGTCGTGTTTTCACTTGTGTCACCCTGGCAATACCAGATCATCGGCTCGACAAGCTGTCTACCTTGATGAGCTTGCGAGTTTCGGTGCCTGTTGCTTCCAACGCATTACTCACGCTTTTGCCAGGTTTTAAGGATGCTGGCGCACGGACCTGCTCAGGCAGATGACAGCTTGACACATTGTTGGATTCGATGTCTTGGGCTATCAGTGTCTGAGCCGTGTCCCAAAGTGCAAAACCTCCAAAGTGCCCGTGTTGGTAGTTACAGCGTTGCCCTACAAGTGCCCAGCGAATGTCCAGCATGCTTGACTGCCACATTCAGCTTGTTGCTAGAGAGGGTTGGCAGGCCGCCGGTTGTGTTTTTCGTTGCGAGGCAACGCTTGCTGGCTGCCAAGCTGATGTTGGCTTGGCATGTTCTGGCGAGACATGTTCATTGTTTTTGTCACTCGAGCAAGACCAAAAGCCAACAGGCTCACTGAGCCTCCCAAGTCGCAGCTGTTTGTGCCTGAGCTATGAGCCGGAGCAACAGTTGTGCCCTAGAGCGGAAGCAAAATTCAGGCAGCGCCTTGCGCTCTTCAAGCGCTCACGTTATGTTTTCTATGTGTTGCTTGAACTCAGCTGCCAAGTTGGACGTGACTTTTGCTAGAAGAGCCGACTCGTTCTCGAAGCAGATGAGCAGCTGTGCAAGAAGGATTGCTGACTGGCTCACCCCATGCCCAGCACTCTTTGCTTTTCCGGCAGTGCCATTTGGGTGCATCCGCACCACGAAATTTAGACCATGTCATTTGCTTGGCATGTCTTTCATGTGGCTTGGGCGCAGGGTCACCGTACGTAAGGCCAAGAATGCTGCGACACATGAGCCTGCCTGTTGTCAGTCAGGCAGCAGAGGATTCGTTGCATACAAGGGTCAGAGATAACAAGAAACGGCCGAACAGCGGCATTGCGTCAGATCAGATCGTTTTGCAGCACATGGGAGAGGAAGGCCGTGTTTTCACTTTTGTTGCCCTGGCAATGCCGGATCATTTGCACAAGCTGTTTACCCTGATGTGCTTTCAATTTCCCATACCTAGTGCTTCCAACGTGTGGCTCCCGCTCCCACCCGGTTTGAAGGTTGCTCGCCCGCAGACTTGTTCACGCAAAAGACTGCTTTGGCGTTGTCAAGTTCGGTAGATTGGCTCTTGGGCCGACAGCAAGGCATTGGGCTTTTTTGCAAGCCCATTTGGCGGGACCTGGCCGCCTCGATTATTACATCTTCACACGCCAGCATCACGTCATCGACATAGATGGACATCAGTCCTCGCACAGTCTCCAACTCCACCTCAGCAATCCTCCACAGATTGGGCTCTTTCAAGTTCCGGTGCCTGTTGCTTCCAACGTATGGCTCACGCTCTTGCGAGGTTTTAAGGGAGCTCGTGCAGGGACTTGCTCAGGCAGATGACAGCTTTGGGGCTGTCAGTGTCTAAGCCATGCCCAAAGTTCATAATCTCCAAAGTGCACGCTTGTTAGTTACAGCGTTGCCCCACAAGTGTCCAGCGAGTGTCCAGCATGTTTGACTGTTGCATGTAGCTTGTTGCTAGAGAGGATTGGCAGACCGCTGGTTGTGTTCTCTTCGCCTTGCAATATCCAACATGAGTTGCTGGGCACCAGGCGGTCTTGCCATGCTCTGCGGCCACAGAGATGCGCAGAGGCTACTTGTTTTTGGATTTGTCGCCCTAACCAGCAAATCCCCGAGAGACCACTGCACTCGAGTCCCAAATCGTTGCTCAGTGCCTGAGCTTCGCGAAGTGCCTGTGGCACCTTTCTTGGTGCGAGCACACAAGTTCTGTTTCGTCTTGGCTAAGTGAGCTGACTTGCCATGTTAGACACGATGCTTGCTACAAAGTCTGACTAGTGGTCAATGCGCCTGAGAAACTGTGCAGGAAGGCATTCTGCTTGGCATGCACCATGTGCTGCACCTCGTGCCTACCAGGCCTTGTCGTCAGCATACGATAGAACCAACACATCGAAAGCATGTTTCTTGGCCGGCATGTGGTTGATGCGTCATGAGTGCAGATCGTCGCATGTAGGTCCAAGTCTGCGGTGAAACTTGGGCTGTCCTGTGGTCAGTCAAGTAGCCGAGGATGTGTGGCACACAAGATTCAGAGATAACAAGAAACAACGAAGCCACTGCAGTGTGTCAGATCAGGTCGTTTTGCAGCATGTGGGAGCCAAAGGCTGTGTTTTTAGTTGTGTCACCCGACAATGCTGGATCATTGGCTTGACAAGCTATTTACCTTGATGAGCTTTCAAGTTTATCTGCCAGTCGCTTCCAACGTATGGTTCGTGCTCCCGCAGATTTCAAGGTTGCTCGCGCACAGACTTTCTCAGACAGATGACAGCTTTGACATCGGATTCGGTGGATTGGCGCTTGAACCAATAGTCCATCACGGGAGCAGCGAGCTGTTTCAGGGTTTCCTCCATTTGCCAATGGACACCACCAGGAAATTGCAACTGTTGAAGGGGAATTCCAGTGACCCCTGTTCAGCATCGTAGTTAAAAGTTGCTTTTTCTCCGTGATGCTTGAACTGGCCTGCCATGTTGGACGCAATCCCTGCTAGCAAGGCTGACGGGCTTCCCCCGGTCTCGCTACAGGAGCATGACGAACCCGTAGCACGCAGCGACTCCGCCTTTGAATTCTTTCCCCCGCACAATTCGCGCGAGCTGTTTGCCCCGTCATGCGAAGCCGGCAAGAGGCAAGGCAAAGATTAGGGCACACGGTTGAACTGCCAGTTTCTCATACGAAGGCCCGACTTATGATGTTGGGCTGACAGGCTGCGCAGGGCGGGCAGACTGTTGCACTGCTGCCTCTGGTTGCCACCTGGTGTGGCCATCAGCAGACCGCAGCGCCAGAGCATGTAGCTTTCCTGGCATGTGTTTTGCGCGGCTTAAGAGCAGGTAATCAGTCAAAGCGCGGTGAGTCCAACGCCGGGCCAGCGGAGCATCGTTGGGGGGAAATTCGGCATGACTACTTTTTGCCGCCAGCAGTGACTCCACCGTTGCGCCCTCTGCAGGACTGGACAGTTTGCTCGAACTTCTTGCCCTGATGTGCGCAGCAGAAAGCATAGGCCTGTTGTCCTTATGTTCGGTTTGCACTGTTTGACTGATTTGAACGCGATCTAAAGAGCCCCAGCTGGCCCATGTCCCCAGTCGCTGCTGTCAGCCGGAACAATAGTTGTTACCTGCGCAGCAGCGATGCAGACGCCTTGCTCGGTGCTCACAAGTTGGCTTCCAATGTATGGCTCGTGCTGCCGCCAAATTTGAAGGGTGATCAGGGAAAGCCTTGCTCAGATGACAGCTTCGACATTGTTGGGTTCGGTTGGCAGCGGGTGTCCAGCTTGACTTCCACATTGAGCTTGTTGCTTGAGAGGGTTGGCAGGCCGCCGGTTGCGCTTTTGCCTTTTAGTATCCAACATAACTGGTAGCTGCTCAGTGCTGGCTCTGGGAAAGCCACGCTTGCTGGGCACCAGGCTGAAGCTTGCTTGCCATGACGCTCTGCAGGCGCATCGTGGATTTTGGATTTGGCGCCCAAGACCAGCAAGCCCCCCCAGCAATGCCGGATCATCTTCACAAGCTTTTTACTCTGATGTGCTTTCAATGTCCCATGCCTGTTGCTTCCAACGTATGGCTCCCGCTCCCGCCCGGTTTGAAGGTTGCTCGCGTGCAGACTTGTTTGCCCTACTTTGTGCGTGCAGGTGCTTAGGCTTTGTCGTGCGTGATCAATGTCCAGAGCGCCCGCAGCACCCATGCCTCAAGTCGCTGCTGTTTGAGCCGTCAGCTCGAGCTGCAGTGGCTCACCACGGCATTGCAGTGCGGGTGTGTGACCTGTAGCAAGCAGTGACGAAATGCTAACTGGCACAATGTGCTGGGCATTAGTGGGTATCCGGCCTGCATATCAGCACAAACGTGCGCCAGAGCACTTAGCTCTGGTATATCCTCAATGCGGCTTGCAGGTAGCTGTTCGCGACGGGTGTTTGTGTTGGGTCATGTCGGGTGTGACACTTGAGTGGTGTTTATTTGTTTCCCGCTCAAGCAAACATGTCTAGAGGTGGACACATGAACAAACAAGCTGGAAGAGTCGACTGGTGCCTTTTGCCATCAGCGTGCAACCGAGCCATAAGCTCGGCAAAGGACGCTGCGAAGATACACTAAGAAGCGGCCGAGCCATTGCGTCAGATCAGATCGTTGTGCAGCACATGGGAGCCAAAGGCCGTGATTTCACCTTTGTTGCCCTGGCAATGCCACATCATTTGCACAAGCTTTTTACCCTGATCTTTCAATGTCCCACGACCGAGGATCCATAGAAGGATCCCCATTTGGGGCGCCTTTTCGCCAAGGAAGAGAGGCTTTATGATTAAACGGGTGGACAATTCGCAAGATTCAATGACTCCCATCATAAATTGTCGCCAAGGCGACCGTGTGGATGTTTGCCATTCGGCACTTCGATGCTACTCACTTCGGACAATGGAATGTTCCTCAAGGTGTGAAGCGAAGCCGCCTCTCAGCCGTGGGCTTTTGAAACAGGCAAGAACAGGTTTTGCGCGAAGCAGACCCACTTGGCAATGACTCCAAATTAGTCAATCCGTAAAGGGCACAGCGCCGGCGCGTGACCTGTAGCAAGCAGTGACGCAATGTTGACCGCACTGTGCTGGGCATGGGCAGCAAGTATCCGGCCTTATCAGCATGCACACATACCAGAGCATTTAGCTTGTGTATATCCTCGACGCGGCTTGCAGGTAGCCGTCGGCGACACAGAAGCACCCCCCGTGCCGTGGCCGGTCTGCCATCTCCACGTGGTCCCCCCGAGCCTGCCGAAGTTTAGAAGGTCCGGCACTACCTTTGTCGTCACCACCTCCGCGTGTAAGAGAGTCGCGCGACTGGCGCTTCCCCGCATGAAGCCCGTTGTTCCTCTGACCGACAATTGAGGGAGTGGAAGTGGGGCGGCTGCGCTTCGAGCCACCCCATGGACTACCTGGATGGGTGGTGATGAGGCTAGCCAGAGGATGAGGGCTACGAGGGCATTTTGCCCGTCGCAAATCATTTGCGTAGGCAAATTAGTTTCAGCAGGAGACAGCCCCGACTGTCACATATTTGAGGCTGAGGCGGCAGCTTTGTTTGACTGCCATTTTTGAGCAAGTGCCGTCTACCGATGACTTCGCTCTGGCTAAGCCTAAGGTGATGTGGTCTACCTGGCCCATTCCCTTCCAAAACAAGTCCCGTGAAGAGGACGCTGCGGAAGGTGCACGGCTTGAATGTCCATATCGCGACATAGTTTCCTTGGAACATTGGTCACCGCCAGGAACGAAAACCACCCTTTCCATTTGCCCCCGCCAAACAGAATGTGAACGGTGCCCCCCGCCCCCCCTCCAGGTACGGTAGGGGCAATTTGCCGTATTGGAGCGAATCGGTGAAAGATTCCAAGCTCTCTGGGGAAAAGCCATCACAAGTTGATGCAAGTCTCTGTCTTTCCAGTGGGCGCATAGGGAGCCGAGTGATGCGCCTGAGATTGGCGGTTCCCGCTGCGTCGTAATGTTTGAAACTGCCACCAAACCGCCGCCGCCCTGATGCTCAGGGCCGCGGCATGTGCGCTATTCTAACAAAAGGCCCAGAATGCTCAGAGCAACACGCCGCAATTCTTGAAAATCTTTCAGGGCGTTCCAGTCGTGTCTCTCGAGGCAGGTGGGACATTTCACCCTAGTATTTTGAGCGTGCAACCGGCAAAAGGAGCGTGCTAGTGTTGCCCAGCGTAGTATCAGGGTACAACAAGACGTTCATGGCCGACACGCGACGAAGCCGAAACGCAATGGCTGTGTTGTTTGTTTGTTTGTTTGTTTGTTTGTTTGTGTGTTTGTGTGTTTGTGTGTTTGTGTGTTTGTGTGTTTGTGTGTTTGTGTGTGTGTGTGTGTGTGTGTGTGTGTGTGTGTGTGTGTGTGTGTGTGTGTGTGTGTGTGTGTGTTTGTGTCTGTGTCTGTGTCTGTGTCTGTGTCTGTGTCTGTGTCTGTGTCTGTGTCTGTGTGTGTGTGTGTCTGTGTGTCTGTGTGTCTGTGTGTCTGTGTGTGTCTGTGTGTGTTTTTGAGGGTATCCATTTTTGGGTTGTTTCAAGGGAAGCCAAGGTGGAAAACCACTTTGATTTT